ATGATGGTGAAATCTTATATAGTGAAGCAGTAAAATCTAGAGGTGGAAGACAACTTCATGAATGTTGGATATTGGATTCAGGTGCAACCTGGCACATGACTCCATGTCGAGACTGGTTTTACAATTATGAACCTATCTCAGGAGGATCCGTGTTCATGGGAAATGATCATGCCCTAGAAATTTCTGGAATTGGTACTGTCAAATTAAAAATGCATGATGGTACTATTCGTACAATTCAAGGAGTACGACATGTGAAAGGCTTGAAAAAGAATCTATTGTCCATTGGGCAATTGGATGACCTCAATTGCAAGATCCATATTGAAGGTGGAATCTTGAAAGTGGTTAAAGGCAACTTGGTGGTGATGAAAGCAGAAAAGATCACAACCAATTTATACATGCTTTTGGGAGATACGTTGAAAGAAGCAGATGCATCAGTTGCAATTAGTCAAGAAGAAGAAACAATGATGTGGCATCGTAGACTTGGTCATATGTCAGAACGAGGCCTGAAAATTCTAGCAGAACGTAATCTCTTGCCCAGACTCAAAATGGTAACCTTACCATTTTGTGAGCACTGTGTGACAAGTAAGCAGCATAGATTGAAGTTTGGCAACGTGACTACAAGAAGCAGACACATACTGAACTTGATTCATTCTGATGTATGGGAATCACCAGAAGTATCTATTGGAGGAGCAAAATATTTTGTATCATTCATTGATGATCACTCAAGGAGATTATGGGTGTACCCAATCAAAAAGAAGTCAGATGTGTTTCCAGTGTTCAAGGAATTCAAAGCACTAGTAGAACTTGAAACTGGAAAAAGAATTAAGTGCTTAAGGACAGACAATGGAGGAGAATATGTAGATGGTGATTTTCTGACATTTTGCAAGCAAGAGGGTATTTCAAGGCAATTCACAGTGCCTTATACACCTCAGCAGAATGGTGTAGCAGAGCGGATGAACAGAACTCTTCTAGAAAGAACAAGAGCTATGCTAAGAACAGCAGGAGTGGCTAAATCTTTCTGGGCAGAAGCAGTGAAAACTGTCTGTTATGTAATAAACCGATCACCATCAACAACAATTGGTTTGAAGACACCAATGGAGATATGGAATGGAAAGCCACCTAATTATTCTTCATTACATGTGTTTGGATGTCTTGTGTACGTGATGTACAATTCCCAAGAAAGAACAAAACTGGATCCAAAATCCAGGAAATGTATATTCTTGGGTTATGCTGACAATGTTAAGGGGTATCGCTTGTGGGATCCCACTACCTGCAAGGTTGTTGTTAGCAGAGATGTAGTCTTTGCAGAAAATGAACTGCAAAAGGAGCAGAAAGATGACAGTACTACCAAAGACACTACTTCAGTAGTGATAGAAAGGAAAGCTAAAGAAGATGACAACTCTGAAGCAGAACAAGAGCACGGAGAACAAGAATCAAATGATGCCAATGATGGAGAAACTCAACAAACAAGACGTGAGATAAGGAGACCATCTTGGCACTCAGACTATGTGATGGCAAGCCACGATGCATATTGTCTTCTAACAGATGAAGGAGAACCATCAACCTTTCATGAGGCTTTGAGGAGTTCAGATGCTTCATTATGGATGACAGCAATGCAGGAAGAAATTGAGGCCTTACATAAAAACAAGACATGGAAACTTGTTGAACTTCCAAAAGATCAAAAAGCCATTGGTTGTAAATGGGTCTACAAAATCAAACGAGATGGTAATGATCAAGTGGAGCGGTATCGTGCAAGATTAGTGGTTAAAGGATATGCTCAGAAAGAAGGCATTGATTTCAACGAGATATTCTCTCCAGTTGTCTGATTAACCACAATCAGAATTGTTCTGGCAATGTGTGCTGCATTTGATTTACATCTTGAGCAACTTGATGTAAAGACTGCTTTTCTACATGGAGAACTTGAAGAGGAAATATATATGCTCCAACCAGAAGGTTTTGAAGAACAAGGAAAGGAAGACGTGGTTTGCAGGTTGACCAAATCTTTGTACGGTTTAAAACAAGCGCCAAGGTGTTGGTACATGAGATTTGATTCCTTCATTATTAGCCTCAGATACAACAGACTGAGTTCAGACCATTGTACGTATTACAAGAGGTTTGGTGATAATGATTTCATCATTTTGTTGTTGTATGTGGATGACATGCTGGTGGTAGGCCCCAGCAAAGATCGAATTCAAGAATTGAAGGCACAATTAGCTAGGGAGTTTGATATGAAGGACTTAGGACCAGCAAACAAGATTTTAGGGATGCAAATACACCGAGACAGAAAAGATAGGAAGATTTGGCTCTTTCAAAAGAATTATCTTCGTAAAGTCTTGCGGCGCTTCAATATGCAAGACTGTAAGCCAATCTTTACCCCACTTCCTGTCAGTTATAAATTATCCTCAAGTATGTGTCCTAGCAATGAAGCGGAGAGGATGGAAATGTCTCGAGTGCCGTATGCATTAGCGGTGGGAAGCCTTATGTATGCCATGATTTGTACTAGACCAGACATTGCACAAGCAGTGGGAGCAGTCAGTAGGTACATGGCAGATCCTGGTAGATAGCATTGGAATGTTGTAAAGAGGATCCTTAGATACATAAAAGGAACCTCTAATGTTGCATTATGTTTTGAAGGATCAGAATTTATTGTGAAAGGCTATGTTGATTCAGATTTTACAGGAGATCTGGATAAAAGGAAATCTACTACTGGTTATGTGTTTACACTTGCTGGAGGGGCAGTAAGCTGGTTATCTAAGTTGCAGACTGTTGTGGCTTTGTCTACTACAGAAGCTGAATACATGGCAGCTACTGAGGCATGCAAGGAAGCAATCTGGATTCAAAGGCTATTGGAGGAACTTGGGCACAAACAGCAGACTACTACTGTGTATTGTGACAGTCAAAGTGCTTTGCATATTGCAAAGAATCCAGCTTTTCATTCCAGAACAAAGCACATAGGTATACAATACCACTTTGTTCGTGAAGTAGTAGAGGAAGGTAGAGTGGATATGCAAAAGATTCACACCAAAGACAACATAGCAGACATAATGACAAAGCCAGTGAACAATGACAAGTTTACATAGTGTCGATCCTTGTATGGCCTATTAAGAATATAAGCAACATATAATTGTAATATATTAGGAATGTGTGAAGATATGATTAACTTAATCATAATCTTCAAGTGGGAGAATGATAGAAGTCCCACATCGTGTGTGTTAAAATGGAAGGGACCCTCTTTGGCTTATAAAAGGAGGCATAAGGGTCCCTTAACATTCATTTCAAAATCCTCTCTTTCCTCTCATTTTGTATTACACCGAGCTTGTACTTGGTAGTAATAGTCTCCTATTTTGAGGAGTAAATTTTAGAGTGAGGAGTAGTGTAATTTTTTTTTCTTCTGTGATAATTTTATATTGTCTTTATTGGCTCTTATTTTTCATCTCTTATTTTAGTTGTGTTATTATACTGATACTCTGGTCCTAACATGATATATGGCCAAAGTTCAACAAAGATTCCAACTTCGAACTACAATTTCTCTTCCATTACCAATCACAGCTTCAATTAGATAACCATGTTCCTGCGACAGCATGTTTGTATAGCACCATGAAGAAGATAAATAGCAAATGTCGAAATCTATTACAAGTGATATAGTTTTTTCTTTTTTGTTTTGTTAAAGCGTCCATTAGTTACAAGCAAATAAGAAATCTTGACACTGTAAAAGATAAAAAGTTGTAAAGTGGAAGTCGTTGTAGTTTTGAGTTCCAAACTTCCCCATCCTTATCAACATAATTTTGTGCCATAATAGTGACGCCCTTGCTGCCAGAACTGCTGGTAATTTCCTCTTCTTTAGAAGCAACCAACATATCCGTGAATGGCTCCTCCAACAATGTCCCAGGACCCCCATACTCCTTGTGCAAATACTCATTAAATATATGTTTTCTATTTAATGATGGTTATTGTTATAACTCATCAAGTTCAAAGTGGAATTACTACATAAAAACGACCTTTTCTGATTTATGCACCAGGTACTAACATGAAACAATTACCATATTAACTAAGTCAGACTCTAATCTCCAATGCTAAACACATTCTTACAAACACGACCTCACATCTGCATAGTTCTTTTTTACCATCTTATTAACCTTGTAGTCTACACACACAAACAATATGATTCTGTAAAACCCAATGTGTGAGACGACAAAGCTAATGTTAATCCAAATGAATTATACTATAATTCATTACTGGATCATCTTCTTTCGGAATCCAGACCGTCAAACCGTGATTGAGATACCAAATAATATTGAATTTTTTACTTAAATAATACATTTTGAAAAACAAATTCTTAAAATAGGATTTTTTAAAACTAATTTTTTGTCTCTAATTTTTTTTTATCAAAGATTGCAGTAATATTGCTCATGTATGAATGATATTTTTTTATTATTATTTTAATAAATTATCGTCTCAACATAAATTGACGTATTATAACTAGATATATATTCATTGAAGTGGATTGATAATAAATTATTATTTTAATAAATTATTGTTACATGATATCTGATATTTATGTTTTTTATTATTTTAATAAATTATCGTTCCATAGTATCCAATACTTGTATTTTTTATTATTTTAAAAAACTATCATAAAAATATGATACTCTTATCGTATAGATATTTTATAGGTGCATCAACAATATTTTTATGTCTTATTTAATTAAAATTATATTTTAAGGGTAACAATAAATAAATAAAAGAGGATAAAATTAATTTGAATTTGAAAAAGGGACATGAATGAGAAATTGAATGAGTGATGCCCTATCCTCTTGGTGCAAAATATCGATCCTCATTCAATATTATAAACACAACTGCAGAAACTCCTCGTAGAAAGTCCACGAACCCATTTCTCTGCATTACAGACAAATTCAACCCTATGCCTATCACATTACTTTTGCGTTTCTTTTTTATGTTTGCATTTAAATTTCACAATAACAATCTAAACACAATTTTATAAAATGAAAACAATTAAATTGATGATGCAATTTAATTTTCTTTATCTAAATATCTCAATCCTTATAATACTCTGTTCAAACACTGGAAGTGTCATGGCCAACAGAGAGCCATCCTCTGGCTAGCCCTTTTGCACATTCAGTCCCTACTTTTATCAGGTGTCAAACTGCCAAAATTCTGAGTTCATACAAATGAACCCTATTACTGTTCAATCAATGATAGCCATTATTGACCAAAAGGAAAAAAAAAATGACAACCATGTAATTGACAAACAATGCGCCTACGATCATAATGAGAGGGGAGACCCAGAAAAAACAGACGTCGGAGCAGACAACAAAACATTGGTATATATATATACCTTCAAGTATATGATAGGCACCCATCCGCTTCTTTACCACTTTTCTGAGACACAATTTGAGCAACTTCTTCCAGTGCCTATATTCTAAATGGCTATCTAGAGTACAGTTCTGATACACATCTTATAGGTTGTCTATGTAATTTAAAGAGGATCTTGCATCCCAACCATTGAGATACACCGACTGTAGATACCCACTATTCATCCAAAACTTAGCCTAGCCCATCCACAACTTCAAGACTTTATCCTTGCCACCAGAGGCCACCTTCTCTCCATCTGGACTCCAATCAACAGAAAAAACCTTCACGAAGGAAAATAGACTTCGGTCAGCCACCAGTATGAAAAAAATATTTAAAAAATTATTCAATCTTTTGGTACGTGAACAGACATACTTCATCAGCATGGCCTGGAAGATCTTGCTTCAACTTACGTGTCCGGATATCCCAAACCTTGAAAACCATACATAATGAAAGGTCAAAGTTCTTGTTTAGCAAATAAATTGAAAATTTCAGATGTACAAATTAAACTAAAATTGTTCATGATACATATCCTTTCTTATAAAAGGAAAATTATGCTTACCTTAAGTGTTGAATCTTTGCTGCCACTTAAAAGAAGTCTACTATCTGCAGACCAGCTGTAGTAAAAGCCAATATACTTTATTTCAGTTCTAAATTAAAAATCCTTGGCTTCCAGTTTGAGGTAAGATGGAATTATTATGCTGTACCTTATCTGGTAAACAGGCCCAACATGGCCTCGAAAGGCAGCAACGAACTTCCCAGTGGTGCCATTCCATAACTTCACAGATTTATCAAAAGATGCACTTGCCACCCATTGCCCATCAGGTGAAAAATAGACATGGTTCACAAGCTGCCAGTAAACAAGTTTAACTTTCATCATTAAGCCTAAAAGATGGAATGTGCAGATAAACAAAGTCATAAATTAATTTTGTGATTAAATCTGCATAACAATGAAACCAACTTCAGCCAGCAAAAAATGATAAAAAATGGGCATCAGCAAATATTTATTACAATTTGAATTGATCAAACTGAAGAACCTTCTTTTGCTACTCGTGGAGTTTGACCTCATCATGTTTTTTAGTACGAAGAAACCATACTATATCAGAAAAGATTTCTAAGCCTAGTTAGCTTCTCAATAAAGCTGATAAAAACTAAAGTCACATTTCAATTTGAAGATAATTATGGTTTATTTTCATTATCATTCTTTAAATGTAAAGAGAAAAAATGAAAAAGTTGTACCTGCTGATGACCTGTCATGCGTGTTTTCGGGTGCTTGCTGATAAAAGGTTCCCAAAGGAACATGGTAAAATCATCAGATCCAGAGACCAATCTTTCAGGGGCATTGCCTCTCATTGCTTGGTACCTTTCAAGAGCAACCTACATTCATCAGCAGCATAAATATTAAATATCAGACAAGAAAAATATAATCTGAAAGAAAGGTTGGACAGAATCCATCCTTCTAAGCAAAGAACCATGGAAGTCATGATGCAATATGGAAGGCACCAAGCAGAACAAGAGTTCAAATTTCAAAGCATACAAAATTACAAACCTAAAAAACATCAAATTAGTAATTAAAAAATGTTAATTCTTAAAAATAATAAGTAACTTCAAATAACATTTTTATAACAATCAGGCCTAATCCCGCAATCCCATTACTTGGGGTTGGCTATATGAACAAAACAATGCCATTGGGCACCATAAAAAATACTTCGTTTTGGAATCAACCAAAAGATAGATATGTAGCTGTTGATATTTATTTAATTATCTATTTTAGGCTTTTATCTGAAATTATCTATTTTTTAATTAAAGTTCTCCACAAAAGAGGAACCATGCATTTCATCGAACAAATAAATTGAAATAATAATAAATATGTTTGGTAATTTCCCAATGGTAATAGAAATATAGATTTAGGGAACAAGTCATGCTTTAAAAAGAGACCAAACCACCCACTTGAACAGTCAGACAATAAATTGGCAATCTCCAGTTCAATCATAGTTTAATATATTAATTATGGTTCAACTACATATTTAACTGATTGAACCATAACTCAAAGGTCACATTGATTCAATATTCAACTTGGTTTCTTAAAAATTAGGAGCAAGGGAAAATTTACAAGTTAAATTAAGATTTTAAAGATAATTAGGTAAAATATGAGAATTTTAGAATATCTATAGCTAATATTTTTATAACTTGTTTTAAGCATCTTTATTAAATATGACAGTAAAACACAACTCTCTTTGTTCAAAAGAAAAACACAGTTGGGATAATGTAAATATAATATCTTCCAAGAAGCAAGCTGCCTGTTGGCATTCCGGTTAGCCTTCCACTATGAAAGACTACAGTTTGATCCATGAATTTTTCTTTTCCAGTAGAAAAAATTTCCATTGCAAGTTAGAATCAAGACAATCCTCACAATTCAAACCACAGGATTGATGAGGTCAGATGAACTGTGATCCAATTCTACAAACCTACTACCTGCCCAGTCTGAGTTTGGACCTACCAATCTAACCAGCCATTTAGCAACTACTATGGTTCAAAGGGCTAACTTACATGGCTACTAAACAAACTAAAAGTTACCTTCTTCATTTCGTTCGGAGATGAATATTGTTTTCCAGTATGATCAAAAGCTCCAGTGCGAAGAACATACTCAGTGCTCAATGCCAAAGAATTAACCCAATGCCCATGGCCCTAGAATTAATTGCAAAATATGAAAAAGAAAAAAAAATTAGTATGGAAAGTAAAGACAATATATTGCCGTCATCACAGAAAAAAACATAAGGGTTGAATATCAGTAGGAAGTTTAAGGCAAAATACATGCGATGTATTTGATGTAAAAACAAGAATAAAAACTTGTCATCATATTCCTCTATATCTATACCAGAATTGTTTTCTTGTTATTCCATGATAGATTTTCTTTTTTAAAAAAGAAAAAATTCAAGAAGAGAAGGGAGCATATTAGAAGAATGGAGGATAAGGAATCCTTCTAAACAAAACAAGACAGAAAACAACCAAGAAAGGAGAAATTCAAAGGAACAAACTACAATGTTGCCCTCAACATGGGAAAATAAAATTCCACAAAAAAAAATTCCAACATAAATTTATTAAAATTTAAAAAACGAGAGAAGAATTTTCATAATAGAACTAATTAAAAGTTAAAACTAAAATAAAACTAAAAATACAATTTTTTTTATTCTCTTGAAATTATGGATTAAATTAAGTTTGATCAACTATAGAGAGTATAGTTTTTAGGGTTAACCCTAAATCATAGAGCCTAAACCCTCAACCCTAACTGCTAGATGATTTTATATAAAGTTCGTGCTAACATTCTAACATAGAATAAAAACAAAACACAAAGTAAAAATGCAAAATCATTCAAGATTGAAGCAAGGAAAGTCCAATTGGCAGCTACATCTGATTAGCATAAAATACACATGAATGATAATATCAAATAACTAATATGAGGGAAAAAGTTGGCACTAAATGAAACAAAGGAGTCATGCATATAAAAAATCACCTTCAAAACAAACACATATAAAATTAAACTGCAAGTAGCATAGCATTCAACCACAAAGGGATGAGGTTCACCTTCAGCTCACGAATTAGCTTCCCTTGTGTAGTTTCCCATACTTTGATTGTACAATCCTGCGAGCTATAATAAAATAACATAATTAGGCTCCAAACAGTAATACAGAATTAGAGTCATAAATAGCCATTAATTTAAACAAAAAGGGGGGAAACCCCACGGCATAACATAATGAACATCAGGATCAGTTGAACTAAAGGTCTAAAAATACAATCTACAAACTTAGATAGACATGAGTAAAATCATAAAATGAGAATTTAACTTAAATGAGTTTTGTTTCCAGCATGGGTATGCAGGAATAATTTTCCTAAAGATTGAAGTACACTATATTTGTTGAGAAACAGAGATATGAGCCCAATGACCAAATAAAATGAGTCTCATAAACATCAATTAAGAACTTGATATAGCAGCAAAGCTACTGTACTAATATCCTAATACATGCAAAAAAGAAAGAGAGAAAAAATGATTACAAATAAATACTCAGACTTAAAACTTCAGAGAAAGTGGAAGGAAAGAGGAAGATAATACCCAGTATAAATTACACCATCTCCACCCCATTTTACACAAGTTATAGCAAGTGTGTGGCCACTGAGACACATAAGACATTTCTTTAAAGAGATATCCCATATACGAGCATCCCCATCTTTGCTGGCACTTACAAAGCGGCGGCATGGAGCATTTAAGTGGACAGGTTCCCATGAGATACCAGTAATCCATTTTTTATGGCCCTACATTTAGTATAATATGAATTTTCTTATCAAAGAAATGTTATAATGATAAAAACACTTTGAACAACATTCGTTATCAACATAAATACTCAAATAATAAAAATAATTAAAATAATTGTTCAACTATGAAACCAAAAATAAATAAATAACAATTCGTTTAAAACATCTTTGCAATAAAACATGATGTTCTTTCATTTTTAATAAATGGGGTGGAAAGGGAAGAAGAGTAGAAGCACAATCAGTATTAATCAAACTTATTGTTGAAGTCACACGTGAACTATAGGTATGGCTAAATAAGAGCTTATAATAGTTAAAGCAATCCTCACCCTACGAGCTAACTTTTGGGGTTAAGTTAAGTCTAAACCCAAATTCAACAATTATTAACATGCTTCAATGCAAAATTAGGAGGGAAAAAATAAAATTTATAATAGAAATTGGTATTCAAGGTTAAAGATTTTACAATTAATGGATTGCCTAATGACTTTCCCGTTTGCGGGTCCCAACAATGAAGTTCTCCAGCCTTGCTCCCACTTACAAGATGTTTTCCATCTGGTGACCATGCAATACAAAGGACCCAGTTCTTGTGTCCTGCATAAAATCAGTTTATGACACATTCTAATTAAAATTGGAAAAAAATAATATAAGAAAAGGAATGGCAGCATGAGAAAAATAGAAACTGATATTCATTTACGGAACGATGATGACTAGCTACTCATGGCAGATGCAGACCTCTATAATTCCTCAGAAGAGGAAAAAATAAAAGAAACCAACATTTGATTTGAGATACTTGTAATCTCCCTCCCAATCCCAAATTCCCACTTGCCTTCACATTTCCTATCCTTCCTCTTCTCATTCCTTCCCAACCAAATTCGCACCTAACAATATTCCTTTAGTATCCGGTTATGCTCCAGAACTTACAGTAACAGCATGAATATTCCCCTTATGTCCCATTTTCTACCTTACCCTAATAAAAAGGAAATATTCTCCTCAGTATCCTTAGCTACATGTGTTGATTCTCTATATTCCCTCCCTGTTCTTGTAGCATACTACTGATAACAGGGATCCATCAGAAACAGATTTAGCCTATGCAATCAATTAAAGAATTTGTTTCTAGCAATGTAATCATGAGCATAACCCAATATTTCCTTGAGTTTGATCATTTATATTCTTGTACTAAGAGAAGGATACATAAATAACAATTAATTATTTCTTGCTTTAATTAAACACAATTTTTCTCAGGCAGATCCCAAGACTAGCTTTATCATCTTTAAACATCAAACCTGTGCAAGTGAACAATGGTGTTTGAGTGTTCAAGTCCCAAAACCGAACAGTGGTATCGCCAGAACCACTGGCCAGTTGTCGCCCATCAGGACTGAAAGCAACGGTAAGTACAGCTTCTGCATGACCTACAAAATACAAACAATCCCAACCACATAAATTCCGGAGAACATGACAACAATACATATTTAAGCTAAAATCTTCCACAGTCAGTCCACTCTGGTGTTTAACATAGACAGCATCCATCACCACATTTCAGGATAAAATTTCTGCATACAACATTGTGTCATCACATGAATGGAAAACACAATTCCCCATGTCTTGCATACCAGAAATAGTTGCTGAACAGCGATTCACAGGACGAATCCTGAATATAGCTTGAGGTTGACAAACTATAGGCAATGCCTTCTCCACTGAGACTGAAATATGAAATTAACATTTCAAAGGAAAAGAAAACATTAGTACAAATAAAATAAATAAAAGAATGAATTAAAATCAAACAAGACTAGCCTTTGTTTTTCTGCAAGTACGTTTCTAGTGCCACAAGGAGCTCCTCGTCTGATATATAGAAAGCATACGGTAATTTCTCTTCCTAAAATGAGAAAATAGATAATCAAGCAACGTCATAATAATAATAAGAAGAACGAATGATGATGATGATGATGATGAGGAGGAGGAGGAGGAGGGGGTTAAAATACATATTTGATCCCTACAATTGAGACGCATTTATAAATTCGAGACTTACCTGTTAGTTCCTAACAAGTGTTTCGTTACCCTTTGGTATCATTTTAACACTCGGAACTCAATAGCACAAACTTGATAGAACAATAATTTTTTCTAATAATATTAAAACGACAGAAACTAAAATGTAACAAACACGAGTTTAGGGACTAAAACACAAGTTTTTGGAGTGAAGAACTAATTCGTAAGAGGGAGCAAATATGTATTTGAAACTAATAATAACAATTGGAAAAAGAAAAGGTTTACGTTGTTTCGAAGCTTATTGACAATCTGGTTAAGGTGTTGAGGAGTAGCGTTTTGAGGAAGGTACATAGGAGCACCCAAAGGAGTTCCATCTGGGTCCGTCAAAAGGCACAACACATTGTTGATCATCTCCCTCTTCTCCACCGCCATTATCTCTGTCTCTGTCTCCATTTTCCAACAAAGGTTTGTAGTTGATGATTGTTACTCTTCAACTGAGGGCTGATTGGTTTTATAGTTCTAACAGTGAGAAGAGGTAAAGGTGTTGCGTTTTAGGAAAACCATTAACGAGGCTTTTTCAAAAAGCTTTGGACTACCACACAGCTCCTTCCCAGCTCCGCGGTTTCTAGTTTTGGGGAAAATTTTGGAGTAGGTTTTGCTGAGGTTCTTTTCTACATCTCAATTTTTAATAATAATAATAAATTTTAAACAACCCGTCCCTGTTATACGGTCGATCGAGTTTCAGTTTAAGCTGGTGACGTTGATTTTGAATTTTATTAAATATAATTATATTAAATATTTTTTAAAAAATTAAACAACCGAAGATGTGAATTAAATAATAGGAATTATTATAGCTTAACCAATTAAATAAAAGAAATTGTTACAACTTAACCAGAAAACCAAAAAATATAAAAAAATTATTTTGTTATCATAATTTTTAAGTAAATTATATATTAGAAAATATAATTGTATTTTTATATTATAAAAAATTTGCTTGGGTAAATATTTTAGAATTTACCCTTTTCATATGAATATTTTATTGAAAAGTTTGATTAACTTTTTAAAACATTATTTTTTTAAATATTCATTCCACATATAAAATATAACATTTACAACTTAAAATTCCTAATAAATTTTAGAAAAAATCTTACCAGATATCTCCTTAATTTTTTTCTTATATTAATATCAGTAAATATACTTGTGCATTGTACTAGTATATCTATATATTTTTTATTAGTTAATTTAATTTAAATATAATTAAAAAATTATAATTTAAATATAAAAAATAATTATTATGAATACAAACAATTTGTCTTAAAGTAGTTTTAGCTTTTCTAATTTTTGTTTTTTAAAAAAAGATAAAAATAAATTCTATTTTTTTAAGAAAAATAATTTTTAAAACATCATGAAAAAAATTTAAAAAAAAAAAAGGAAGTACCAAAACTTTATGCATAAAAATGGAAAAGGAAAATAAGATAGAGCAAAAAAGACTAAAAAAATAAAAAATGATCATAAAAGGAGTGAGAATGGAAAAGAGATGGGAGAATAAAAAAAAACACGGAAGGGAAACAACAAAACTAAAATACAGAGAGAAAAAATGAAGAGGGGAGGGAGAACAAAATTTTCTTGTTGAAACAAAATCAGAGCATCAAAAGAGAAGCTGCAAAATTAAAGAAGAAAATCATTTAGAAATAAGTGTTAGATTATTTTAATAATCTTATTATAGTGGCCTATGTAACTTATAGCATGACTCTAATTAATGATTTAATATGATAGTGGTTAAATATAAAATATATAGTCATTGAGGGTATAATTGTAAATACAATTATAAGGAAACCTTCCTCTCATCCTTCATATAAATTAAAAAACAGTTATCAAATAGGAGTTACGACATTCTTTATTTTTCACTTTCACGGTCTCTAAATGAGCTCACGGTATATGCGAGAAAGAAACTTTCTCTCAACCATCCGGTTCTCGGGGTACCTTAGTTTACCTATCTCAATAAAGTCTATGATTAGTTCGAAGAATGTCTTGAGATTCAGGCGATTGTCGATGATATAACCAGTAAATACGTTCCTCCCCATGTAAACATATTTTATTATTTAGGAGGAATTACACTTACTTGTTTTTTAGTCCAAGTAGCGACGGGATTTGCTATGACTTTTTATTATCGTCTGACTGTCACTAAAGCTTTTGCTTCTGTTCAATATATAATGACGGAGGCTAACTTTGGTTGGTTAATCCGATCAGTTCATCGATGGTCGGCAAGTATGAGAGAGGAGCTCAAAGAGGAAGGAAGAGTTGGAGAAAATACTAAGGGATCAACGACATCAAAAAGAAAAGTAACATTAAGAAACAATCGATTCAGGTTAGTGCTTTCTAAACCCTTAATTGTATGAGAACCATATATTGTGTTGTGAGAGTAATATAATTCAAGATCTCGAAGGGAAAAGGTAATTTCATAATAGTCATTATATAATGGAAATTACATAATAGATTAAAAAAAATTCTAACAATAAGGTAATAATAATAATGAAAAAAAAGAAGAAGAGACATAGAAGTAAAAATATAAATAAATAAATACTTTTTTTTTATTCTTTATCATCCACAAAATCATTACAAATTTTAACTTGTTTATGCTCATGATGTTGCTGCAATTTGTTTGTTGTACACGTAGCATTTTTCAAATGTTACCTTATTACCTCCTCCCCACAAGACTCAATCAATTTGAGCAGTCGGATTATTTTAATAAACCAATTCAACAAATTTTAATAATTTTTGTATTATAGTAATTGTTTCTTGAAATATTATATATATATATATATATATATATATAATATTATTTAATATAAAATTTTAAAATTTACATTAATACTATCAAAGCTACAAACAATTTTACATCAAATTAAACTTAAATATTATATAAGCTATTTAATAAAATAGTTTTGAATGATATATTTATAAAAATAAGTTTTTACAATAATTATATATTATATTTATTTAATATATATCAAAAAGGAATTTTGTAATAATGACAATTCACAATTAAAGAATATAAATTTGAGCATAGTGTTTAATTTTGTAATAACGAAGATTTATACTTTTTCACTTCACTAATTATTGTGACGTCTTTAATTTTATTACTCATTTATTTAAAATTCATAGAAATAAAATAATAAAATAAAAATAAAGTAAATTTCTTTATACTCATAATATAAAAATTTGATAAAATTTTAAAATTTTCACTTTTATTACTCAATTTATGAAAATGTATAGATATTCAAAATGATAAAAGATAAATATTTACAACATTATATCTTGTTAAATAAATTTTTACTTGAACAATAAAAAATATACATGTATTGAATTTTATTTTAATACAAAAATTTGATATTTACATATCATAACTCAAAAATACATGAGGACTTCATTTACATAACTACATAATCAAAATAATTTAAGTCCTAATGAGTAGCTTATTTTTATACCAACAACTTGGAAGATATGATCCTAGTCATCATCATTATCAAACAAATCCTCTATCTCTTTTAACTTTTCTAGTGTAAGTCCTTCTTATAGTAATCTCCAGTATCGACAACAACCTTTGTGCCGATCATCTGCTCTCGTATAAATGAAACTAGTCTTCCTATATGATCATAATCGTGGAAGGTATACACATAGTTCACAACATCTAACATCTAAACTATCCCTTTATATATGTACAGGCTAAGGGTGTAATATATTCTGCCACTAGTAGGGTAGTCAAAAGGAATATTGTCCCCTATCGTAATCTTTAAGGTAAAAAATCATTGGAAAGAGTTTTATGGAAGATATTGTCCAAAGAACTTCTTCCTATATATTACAAAGTGAAGCGCTTTTGAAAAAAGAGAAAATAGAGAAATATAAGCGAGACTAGAAGATCGAGCTCTAAGGAACTTCCTAGGAATCCAACGGGAAAGACGTCCAAGATTAGATTTGAGAGTAGTTCAAAGTTCAAGGAAGTTTTCTTTGAGAAATGGAAGAGAGAGAATAGAGAGAAAAGTAAGGAAAGGTTGCTTGGCTTGTAATACAAGTTTTAAAATAGAAAATTCCTTAAATATCCTTTTTTCTCGCGACTTCTCGCTTAAGCGAACGAATTCTCGCTTGAGCGAGATGCATTCTCGCATGGGCGAGAACATTGATAAGTCCATATTTTGATGTGTTTTATGACTTATATTTATACACTTGGAGCCTATTTTGTGGGTGTTTCACACTCATTTTATTGTTAATTTTCATAGTTAAGCATGAAAGAGCTATCGGTGCATTATGAGGATATTCTAAGCAAAAATCGGATAATTGTACTTGGCCCCATAAGAAAGCACAACTGTGCTTCACACTCATCATAGGCGTACTTCGTTATCTAGCACGGCCTTGATGGAGGATAATGCACGATCGTGCTGAATAGATATGTGTTCAAAAGTTTAAATTTAAATTTTAAACCTTGTGGGAGCTTTTATCTAAATACATATTTGAAATTTAAATAAAGATTTCGACTGAAATTTTGATAGTAGACAAAACTGCTTTTCATTAAAAAAGATAAAGCTCAACCACTAAAGATCGAGTGACGATCTTGGAACTTAGTGCGCACCCTATATAAATATAAAAAGACCTTATGCTCATGATAAATGGACCTTCTACACATCATCTTCTTGTCCTAAGCTCTGACTTAATCAACTATTGAGAGTTATTGGAGATCATTGACCAAGATGACTAGTGTTCCTTTAGAGTTCAAGCAAGTGATTGAGTGTCCCTTGGAGAATGAGAGCTACCTCCACCCTTTTTTCTTTTGGGTCCTTTCAATTCAAATTCTCCTTTGAGTTTATGAATTTGTTTCATCATGTTTTTTTATTGTTTGTTTTGTTAAGGGTAGCTAAATCCATAGTTATGGCTATGGTGGATCCTATTACATACTATATGTGATTTTTATATTTAACGACGATATTGGTTTTCTTTTAATGATTAGTTTTTATCCTGTTAAATTAAATTTTTCCTGTTAAGAATTGATCACTCTTAGCATCTCATAATTAGTTGCATCGTAGATGATTGTACCACGTGTAATTAATGGAACCACAAGATAAAACAAGACAGAGGGTTAGGTGGATCAAACTTAATTCTTTTCTTCCAACTATTATTAAATTAATAAACTTATAGGCTCATCATGTTTTCTCTATATTTTACCTTGCATGATCATTGGGAGTAATTACCTAAGGAAAAAAATATTAATATTGCATAATCATTGGGTGTTAATAAAGTAAGTATGATTGGTTAGTAAACATTACAAAAACTAATATGCCATAAGTTCTTCTCATCTAATTTCTGTCACAAATTATTTTAGTCTTTTTAATTGCCTTCGAGTTTAAATTCCTCTTGTTTTTAATTCACTAAGCATCCTTTTAGTTTAAACAATTAAATCAAGGTGTTAACATCATTTCTCCAAGATTCCTAGAATCGCCTCCATCTTTCGCACTCCTTATGTATCTTTAAACTATCTACACTTGTTCTTATCATCTTTCCTTTCCCATATTTCTCTTCATATTTCCTTTTCCTTTTTCATATTTCTCATTATTGCTCCACTTG